GTGCTTCTCAAACCTGAACATGGTCTGGGAAGGTAGTGTTTTTGTCATACAAGGGCTCCTTATTCTGCCCCTGGTTTAGGATTGGTTTGGAAGGGAAGGATATGTAACAGACTGCACACCTTCAGGCTCAATGTACCTCACACCCCTTTCATTGAGGCGTTTGGGGAAGGAGATGAGGCTGTGTGATTTTTTCACTAGTTGACCTCTCTGACACCTTACAGGGTGCTTTGTGATGGTAGGAATGGAGCTCAGAGGAGCAGAGGCCCTCTTCACATCCTCACTTGACAGCTTTCATTTGTCTACTTGCCCTGATTATTTTGGCCATTTTTCAGACTCTGGATAGGGTACTCACCCTATTCTAGATCGATTCGAGTGGAGGAATGATGCTTTATGTTGACTTCTACAGCTCTGGATATAAAGAATGTTGGGTCTCAGAGAAATCAGGCAGGAGAGTGCCTTGAGTGGAACGTGGTATCTGGTTGGGAGCCTGGTTGCCCTAGTCTTATTTACTCCCATCCTCCTTTGAATTCAAGGTGCTAGGAGTAGGGTGGAGGGAGGAGATGAGCTGAGTGATCAGGAAAGAGGGAAGGAACAGACTTTCTGACACAAAAATCTATGCCTATCTCCCTCTCTCTACATTCTCCTACTCTGCTGTTACTTCCTGATTGCCTGGCCTCTAGGTAAAGTGAGATGTTGAAACCTTTCATAGTAGGATCATAGATTTAAAGTTAAAAGGGACTCTAGAGGCCATCGAGTGCAACCTCCATCGTTTTACAGATGAGGAAACTGAGGCACAAAAGGGCAAGTGACCTTGCCCATGGTCACATAGTTGGCATTGGAGGCAAGACTTGAACCCAGTTCTTTCTGACTCTAATGTCCAGTGCACTATTCACTGTGACTGTAACTTCTTAAATAAGAAGTGCTTATTTATGTGGCACCCAAAGCCCAGGAGCCCTCTTCTCTTCTTCTTCTCCATCAGAATCTCCTAATTCAGTTGTGATGAACTCCAAACATAACTTTGGCACCTGTTTCATATGCCTGTTGTTGTTCAGTCATGTGAACTCTTCATGACCCTGTGGACCCCTATCCATTGGGTTTTCTTGGCAAATGGAATGGTTAGCCATTTCCTTTCCAGTGAATCACCAATCCATAGGCAAATAAAAGTTAAGTGACTTGCCTAAGGTCACACAGCTAGGAAGTTTCTGAGGCTAGATTTGAACTCAGGCCTTCCCGACTTTGAGCCCAGCACTCTATCTACTATGCCTCCTAGCTGCCTCTCTTCATATACCTTATTATTGTTTGTTCATTTCAGTCATGCCCAACTCTTTATGACCCCATTTGGGGTTTTCTTGGCAAAGATACTGGAGTAGTCTGCCATTTCCTTCTCCAGCTCATTTTACAGATGAGGAAACTGAGGCAAGCATGATCAAGTGACTTGCCCAGGGCTATATAGCCAGGAAGTTTCTGAGGCTGGATTTGAATTCAGGTCTTCCTGACTCCAGGACCCAGCGTTCTATCCCTATGGCACCTAACTGTCCACATGCCTACCCAACCCTTAATCCTAACTCAGCGGTACTTCTGCAGAGAAATGTCTCCGATCTAGCCTTTTCCTTTCTGCCCTGTGCTTTGTGTTGTTCCCATGCACTTAACCGGATATCATGCGGTATCTGTGTTGATGTCCCTTCACTATATTCTGAGATGCCACAAGACTAAAACCATATCTAAACTTTGTATCTCTCTTTGCTGCTGGCACAGTGCTTTGCATGTAGTAAATATTTGTGGAATTAAATTGACTTTCATCTAGGGGAAAAATAAAAACCAACCAGCCAAACTGGGTTATACTAGGGTCAGTACCCCGCCCCCAACATGCTATCACTGCTCTCACCTGTTCTCCTTCCTCTGTCTCTGATGCCTACATCTCTCCACCTTTCCCCCAACCTAGCATAGAACTCTGAAGGCGTGATCTTCTCCATCCTGGGCAAGGAGCCAGGGGCTAGAGAGGCCTCTGAGCCAGGAGCTAAAAATACTCAGGGGCTGGGGGGGAGGGAGGGTTGGTGTTGCGGGAAGGTTCCCTGTGGAATCTCTGGGGAGGGAGAGGATTGGATCCGGATGGAATTGGTGGGGGGGAGGTGGCTTCTGTCTGAGCATCCCTTCTTCCCCCTGCCTTGGTGTCCACAGACCCAGTGCACCGAGGATGAAGGGAGGTGAGGGATAGGCAGACAGACAATTGACTAACTTCTGTTCTGCTTACTCGAGCCTTTAGGAGGAGACTGAGTTTAGGGGAATGGGAGGGGAGGGCTAGCTTACAAGCCAGAGCATGCCAGCTGCCCAGCAAGGCAGGATGTTGTCTGGGCTGGGGAAGAAGGAACCCTACCACTCCCACTCCTCTCCTTCCCCACCCCTTCTGCCCTGGGTTGAGAAGCGGTAGCAGCCTACAATCCAGGCAGAGAAGGTGGAGACGACTCTTTCGGTTATATTTCATTGATGGAATCGGGGTTGGACCTTCCTTAGGTCCCCTTTCCTCCTACCCCATCAAGGACCAAAACCATCTTGAAGTCACTTTGCTCAGCCCCTTGCCTCTAGGCAGAGCTATGTCCAGTTCAGACAGGTCTATTGTGCTTAGCATCCCCTACCCATTCCATTACTCATGTTTGGGTACCCTTAGAGTTGGGGCCTACAGGATAGCTAACTTTGATCTCTCCTGCTCTGACCTCCTAATAACCATCTTTATACTTGTTGGTCAATTCTTATCCACTCTTCAGTCTGATTAACCTGGCAGTCAGGAGCCGGGTCAGCTGGGAGAGCTGATTGTTAAATTTTCAGTATGAACATTTATATCTCAGAAATCAACAAACTCCACAAATTAAGACTTGATTTATTGTCTTTTTGGTTGTATAGATTTAAGAAAGTGATAGAGAAAATTTAAAAGTGTGTCCTGGGTTTTCAGAAAACTAATTGTTAAACATTTACCAGCACACTGCAGCTGATAAGGTGAGGATTACAGGGTCCAGGAGAAATGGGACCTTGGATTTCTGGTTTCATCAGTCACATTCCCATGCATAAGGAAATTGGGTGGCAATTAATTTAAAAGTGGCATGGTGGCCTGAGTCATCTTTCCCCCCTTTCCCCTGGCTCCTAGTCCAGATGCTGAGGGGGTGGGGCAGCAGGCTCTAGTGACTGGTCAGTCACCAAAGAGTATAATGGCTTTCCTTGCCCGTTCCTGTATCAGACTAGGAAATGACTAACAGGGGGCTGACAGGGCAGGGCTGGCACCGGGCCAACCTTGTGTGTATTGGTACCGCCAAGGAGAGGGGGAGGGGAACTCTTCTTACACCCCCTCCCTCCTCCCATATCCCTGGGGCCTTAAAACAAAGCTTTTGCTGTTGAGGTGTATAGGGAAGCATAAGTTGTGTCCTGCTTCCCCCTCCCAGGCTCCTCAGGTTCTGCATTCCTGACATGAGAAGGGAGGGATCTCCAAGTCTCTACATGCCCAGGGTTTGAACCTCTTCTCCCACTCCCATCTACCCCTCATCAGGGATTCAGAGTCATTGACTAGAAGCAAAGATTTCACTCTAATGCTGCTCTTGGCTCTGCCTAGAGCCAGGTGTGGAAGGGCTAGAGAGGGAAATAAAAACAAGCCAGTGGTGGGTGGGAGGGAGAAAGGTCAACATGAGGCCCCTTGGGCCGAGAATTGGATTAGAACCAAAGAAGTAGAGCAGGGAGCAGTAGCCCTAGCAGACCCTCATCCTTGTGCAGCCTGAGGGAGCCACAAATATCCATGGCTTTACTGTTTCTCAGCTGACCCAATCCTCTAGCTTGGGTAGGGGGACAGAGAGCAGAGGAGTGCCGGGAAGCTCTGGAGTCTATTACATTACCCCCCCTTACCTGCCCCTACCTCAGCCAGCCTGATTCCCCAGCTTTAGCTGTGGGTTCCTAGAGCAGTGATAAAACTCTCTCTGTACCTTTAGAGATGTGAGGCAAGGATACCAGTTAGGTCCAGGCAAGAAGTGACCAGGGCCTACCTGTCCTAGGGTGGCAGCCCTCTAGGGCAGGAGATGCTGTGAAGTTAGACACACCTAGATTTCACAGCTGATTAAATATCAGGGAGGGAGAGAGAGAGAGAGAGAGAGAGAGAGAGAGAGAGAGAGAGAGAGAGAGAGAGAGAGAGAGAGAGAGAGAGAGAGAAAGGAGCAGGAAGTGACATTCCTGGCTGACTTGAAGGATGGTGGCATCTTCCATGGAATAGGGAAGCTCAGAAGAGAGGTGGGTTTAGGGAACAAATTAATGAGTTCTCTTTTGGAAATGTTGACTCCAAAAAGTGGAGAAGACGTGAAAAGAGAGGCAGTGCAGGCACTGAGTGTGCATCCTCAAAGCTTTCTCTAGATGTTTAATTGAAAAAAGCAAAGAGATGTAGGTTGATGGCTTGAGAGGGTTTGGGTTTAGTTGAGGTTTTTCAAGGATGAGACTTAGGCATGTTTGTAGCTAGAGGGGAAGGATCCAGTGGGCAAAAAGAGTTGGAGACTGGAGCGGGGGAGGATAATTGTGGGAACCATTTGCTGGAGAAGACAGGATGATATGGGATTGTATTTGTTGGCCAAGTTGGTCTTGGAGAGGAGGAGGGCCATATTGTCATCAGAGAGTAAAGGAGAGAGAGAATATTGAGATGAAGGGTTTCTGAGATGCAGCAGAGGGGAGAAGGGGGAGCTCCTAGTGAATGCTCTTCATTTCTTCATACAGTGTGAGATGGCCCTTAAGCTTTACTCAGATGCTCCAGCGCCTCTTAGTGATGTGTTGGACTTTCTGAGGATGAGTGCTTTCCTGGGGGAGGGGGAGAACCGAGGCTTGCGGTCGAGCTATTCAGTCAGGGAAAGGATCTGGTTGTCCTGTCCTCTCTGGTACAGGTACCCATTTCTTGGAATGGGCTTCCCTTTACCTTGGATAGTACATTGGCTAAGAGCCAAATGTTAGTCTGACCTCCAGTCTCTTTTCTGCCCCCTTAGACTCCTTGCTGGTGCTCCACGGGACCTTGCTATACCTGATGGCCACACCAACCGGACAGGTGCAGTGTACCTGTGCCCCCTCAGCTCCCAGACAGATGACTGTGAACGGATGTATATAGAGGAAAAAAGTAAGGGGGAGGGGGCTCAGATCCCCTTGTCCTGTGTATTCCCTTTGGGCAACACCCAAAGTACTATGGGGGTGGGGGATTCAGAGGAGATGAGGTCACCATCCTCAAAAGGAAATCACAGACCCTTCCCTTAGGGCACTCTCAGGCTAGGGCTAGAATGGGGCATAGAGCCCCAGATCACCCTAGGAAGAAGGGGAGTGGAACATTCCAGGGAACTGGGATGGAAGGCTGGGGGAGGGGAGGCTGGCGTCCAGGGTATGGGGAATAATTTAAAGGAAGATCCCAGGGCCAGAGAAGGCAAGGTGAGGGACATTTTAGGGAAAGGTCTGCCTAACTGAAATAGAGTCTGAGCGCCCAGTTGTATGCCCTTGAGAAGCTCTGGGCTGCTAGGAATGTGAGAAGTGAGTTTATGTGTTTATGAAGACCGCCTCCCCCTTGGTCTTCTATTCCCCCCCGTCACTCCTGACTTTGCTTTTAGGTGATCCCGGGCAGCACATTATTGAGGACATGTGGCTTGGGGTGACAGTGGCCAGCCAGGGACCGGCAGGCAGAGTGTTGGTGAGTGGGTGAGAGGGTCATCCACAGCCCCTGTGCTTCCCTTGGACCTTCCAAACTATTCAGATCCCCCTGGGGGGGGGCGGGGTGGAGGGCATGTTACATGGCAGAAGAAGAACCAGGAATCTGAGTACCTGGGCCTCTGAGAACACTATGTGTGTGTCCCTGGGGGTTCTGCTGCTCCTCCCAGGCTGGGTGTGGCAAAGCCCTAGTCAATGTCTCATTGCTCTTCCCAGTTCCTAGGGTGCCCTCCGTGGGAACAAGCCAGTGAGCCTCTGGGAGGAAAGGGCAGAAGGGGCCCCAGGCGGCACAGACTTGGCTTTAATTGCTTCCTCTGGGAGGGAGGCGGTGCTGTGGGAGCCAGGACGAAGTGGCACAGTTCCTGGGGAACCTTGCCTGCTCCAGGCTGGGCATCAGGAGCTCCCATCTACCTCCAGGCACTCTCTGGAATCCCCTAGTGCCAGTTACCCCCCCTTCCCCTCTCCTGTGCTGTCATTCCTTACTCACCCCTCTGTCACCCTCACGCCTCAGTGTTGGTTGTTCCTCAGTGCCAGCTATTCCCATGCCCAGCCTTTCACTTCTGGAGGAAGAAAATTCTGGAAGCCCCCCTTGAACCAATTCTAGACTCTATTGCACACAACCGATTGATCCAGAATTCTGCCTGTGAACTTTAATGGATTTCCCATTCTTGGCCATTTCTAGATCAGTCTGGTTCTAGAATAACAGTGATGATAATGATCTAGTATTTATAGTATATATTTTAAGGTTTGCAAAGTACTTTACAAATATTATCTCCTCACAATAACCTTGAAAGGCTGGTGCTATCATTATCCCCATTTTACAGATGGGGAAACTAAGACAGACAAAGGTTAAGTGCTCCGGATTATACAGCCTTTGAGTGTCTGAGAGAAGATTCCAATTCGGGTCATCCTGACTCCACGGCCAGCACTACAAACCACTGTACCACCTAGGTGTCTTTTTCCCCATCCACTTGTTTTTATAACAATAATAATAATAATAATAATATTATTATTATTATTTTTTATATAGCCCTTCAAGGTTGGCAAATCATTTTACATATATTATCTCATTTGATACTCATAACAACCTGAGACATAGCTACTATTATTATCTTCATTTTACAGATGAGGAAACTGAGGTTGGGAGTTGTTAAGTGCCTTGCCCAGGGTCACAGAGATAGTAAGAGTCTGAGTCAGAATTTGAACTCAGATCATCCTGACTCCAAGTCCTTTCCTACTCTTTCCATTTTGTCACATTGCGTGCACACATACATGCACACACACACACGCTCACACACTAATTCTAGGTCACCATCTGTTTTTGTTTTTTATTTGGTTTTACTCTAAGAGGACAGGGTATTTGCAGGGTGAGGGGCAGGCAGGATGTCTTTAACTTCCTCTGTAACCAGTTTCTTTTTGGCCTGTGAGCCAAGGACTACCCCCAACTTGTCCTTCTATGATAATCCTCCCAAATCCCTTATTTTCCAAGGAGCAGTGCTCCATTTCCCTCTCCTCCCTTCCTGGGGCTAATCTAATACACAGAAAAAAGATATTCAGCTTCAAGAGTTAATGGAGGAAATGAAAAGAACCTCCTTCCCCACTCCCAGAACAACAAAGACCCAGTGAGAGTGGTCTAAGGGACCAGCAAGCAACTGCCTGTCCAGGGCCCTGGCGGTGAGGCCTCCGGTGGGGTATATAGGATGGGTTGTGACAAAGGTTTTGTCTGGCGGGGGGGGATGTCCCCAGGTCTGCGCCCATCGCTACACCAAGGTGCTGTGGTCAGGGTCAGAGGACCAGCGGCGGATGGTGGGCAAGTGTTATGTGCGGGGCAACGATCTACAACTCGACTCCAGAGACGACTGGCAGACGTACCACAATGAGATGTGCAACAGCAACACAGACTACCTGGGCACAGGCATGTGCCAGATGGGCACCAGTGGGGGCTTCACCCACAACACTGTGTATTTTGGGGCACCTGGTGCCTACAACTGGAAAGGTGGGTCAGAAAGAGTGGCAAATGGTAGATGCCATCCAGCCCAGGCCAGTGGTAGGAGCATCAGGCAGAACCTTTCATGATCACCCAGGGTGGGGAGATGGGAGCAACAGGCTGGACTTGCTATCAGTGGCTATTGTCTCCTTTTTCCCAGCCTGATCCATCCTTTCTCAATACGTCTTGGCTGGAGCTTCAGCCTTTTTATAATTGTGGGATGAGCTTCCCATTTTTTCTTCTTGTTGAAGGAAGTAGCAGATGAGATCCTTCACTGGGAACAGTAAGAACGGGAGCTTCATCTATTTGCTACTACAGACCAAGCTGCTAGACTCTTTCTCTGCTGTAAACTTCTCTCTCTCTCTCTCTCTCTCTCTTTTTCTCTCTCCTCTCTCCTCTGTCTTCTCTCTCTTTCCCTCCTTCCTTAGATTCTTCCTTCCTGCCCTGCCTTGCCCTTCTTCTTCCCTTTTTCTCTTCCTCTCTCTTCCCCTTCCTCCTTTTCTCCCTCTTCTCCCCATCCTCTGTGTGTGTCTGTCTCTCTGTCTCTTTCCTCCTTCCTTCCTTCCCCGCCTCCCTTTCTTCCTCTCTCCTCTCAATCTCTCTTCCTTCCCTCCCTCCCTCCCTCTTTCCCTCACCTCTCTCTCCCTCCCTCCCTTCCTCCTTGCTTCTCTCTGTCTTTCTCTCTCTTTCTTTCTCCCTTCCTCTGCCTCTCTCTCCCTTTACCTCTCTCCACACAAACACATCCCATGTACCACCATGGCTGCCTACTAGAGCGAAAGGAGAGCCCTCAAGTGGATGTGAATAGCCATTATAGAGAAGCCCAAGAACCAGGTTTTCTGTGGACTGGAGCTATCAACCCAGGAGTGAGATTTGGGGGAGCAGTAGGACAGATGTGATTGTATATTTCTAATTCTAAAAAGAGACCCTGGAGAGGATTTCTTTGCAGTGGTGGAGCGATAACAGAATATAATAGAAAGGCTTCTGATTTTGGAGACCCAGGGCCTGGGTCTCTGCTGTCTCTGCTCCTTGCTGCCTATGTGACCATCACCTAGTTGATTCACTTTTCAGAGCCTCATTCTCCTCATCTCTAAAATAAAATAGGTTAGTCTGAAATGATTTCTCAGATCACTTCTGACTCTAAGACTCTTCAATCCTATGATTGTCCTAGAGGTGCATTCTGGTTATGGTCAGTAGAATTTAGACTAGGAAGGAACCTTAAAAGTCATCTAGTCCAACCCCTTTCACAAAAGAAGAAACTGAGGCACAGAGACATCAAGTGCTTTACTCAAGGTTTACAAGAGATGGCAGAGCCAGAATTTGAACCCAAGCCTTTTCCCTGCTGCTGTGCTTGCCTACCTAAGGAAGGGTGAAGGATCCTTGAAGAGGATGGTGGTAGAGGGCGGGAATGGTTTCTGTGGCAATTCAGAGTCAGGAAGAAGAAGGAGGGACTGGCTCTGAGTTCGTCCTAATTGTTCCCCCTTCCCTGTAAGGTACCACCTATATGATCCAGAGGAAAGATTGGGATTTTTCAGAGCACAGTTATACAAACACAGAGGACCTAGGGCATCTCTATATCGGTGAGTCCAGTGCTGGAATCCTTGATTAGGTAATGAAGAAGAGAGGCCTGGTGGGTGGAAGAGAAAGTCTGGGGGCAACGAATGGATGCCCAGCTATCTGAGACAGTCACCCTCTTTTTAATATCTTTATTCCAGCATAATAGGTTTCCTTTGTAACCTTAGGCATTTTATTTTATGCATTTATAAACATGATTCTGAGAAGGGGTCCATGGGCTTCACTAGACTGCCAAAAGAGTTCATAGCACAAAAAAAAAAGGGTGAAGTACTCTTGGGCTAGGGCATTTCCCGAGGGATGTCAAGGGAGGTGATTAGAACTGTGTGCAGGCAGCTGCAGTGAGGTCTCTTGTGACTCACCTCTTTCTTCTTATCTTCTCCCAGGGTATGCAGTACAGGTGGGGAGTGGCATCTTGCACCCTGAAAGTCTCACCATTGTGGCTGGTGCTCCCCGGCACCGCCACGTGGGCTCTGTCTTCCTCATGAACGTGGAGGCAGGTGGGGAAATTGAGATGAAGCAGGTGTTGGAAGGGGAGCAGGTGGGTGCCTACTTCGGCAGCGCCATCGCCCTGGCGGACCTTAACAATGACGGGTGAGTGAGATTCTAGATCTGCGATGGACCTTGACCCTTCTCACTAGTCTGGGGATCCCACTTCTCCTCTAATCTAGGGAATTGGGCAGACACAAGTGTAATTGTGCATCCATTTTTGTTTCCTCATGGAAATGAGATCAGAACGTGTGGTAGGCTCTGGGTTTGAGTGTTATTTGCAAATAATTTATCTTTCCTGTGCGTGAGTTTTCACGTGGAAGATCGCTGTGCGTGGTGTTTGGGGGGGGCGGTGTATAAAACTTGAATGTCATTTATAGGAAACCAAAGCAGTTTGTTTTCCATGGCTTCTCCATACTCACATATCATGCACATGGGTCTTATATTGCCTTCCTGTGCCCAAAGTATGAGACTGAAGGCCATGACCAAGGTAGCCCCAAGGTGGATTTGTTTCTGGGTAGCCATGGATCTGGGTATCCATGGATCACTTTGAGAGGGGGACGTCACGGGGGCCACTGCCCTCACATCCTCCTCTCCACTGGGGTAGGTGGCAGGATCTCCTGGTGGGTGCCCCCTACTACTTTGAGCGGAAGGAAGAGATCGGTGGTGCAGTCTACATTTTTATGAATCAGGGGGGCATCTTCCCCATTCACCCTTCCCAACACCTCCATGGGCCAAGTGGCTCAAACTTTGGCTTCTCTGTGGCCAGCCTTGGAGACATCAACCAGGACGGCTTCCAGGGTGAGATTCCCCCCTTCTCTTGCCTCCTCCTAATATCCCCCCTCCTCATTACTTCTTCAAGTCCACAAATATTTACAGAATACCTACTTTGTGAGGGCACTGTGCTGAGTTGCAGGGAGGGTGAGTACAGAGAAGAATTAGATACAGTCTCATTCTTCCCAGAAATTACAGTGTAGTCAGAGGAATGATATGCACACGAGAAAAGATGGCTAACAAAACAAGGCAGTTGTTTAAATGCCAAATGAGTGTTACACCCAGAAAGCTCTGGGATTTAGAAGAGAGAAGACATGTAGCCTGGGGACCTTAGAAGAGGCTTCTTAAGGAATAGTAAGACAAGATGAGCATTGAAGAATAGGTTTAGATAGAGAAGAGGGAGGGCATGCTATGTGAGGAATGTATTTGGGGGACAGTGAGTAGATTGGTGAGGAAGAACAAATAGGGTTCATCTAGGGGATTAGGAGCAGGCGAAGCTGGATAGGTAAGTGGAGGTCAGAGTACAGAAGGACTGTATCTTGTAAGCCAAAAGGGGCCCCTTGAAGATTTTTAAGTTGGGGATTGAATAACAGCAGTCCTGTGCAGCTCTGGCCAGGAAGGAATGAGGCATGGGGTTATGTCGGGGAGAAGAATCGAAGGGATCATTTGGGAGGTTCTTGGAGTAGTACAGGTATTTAGAGACCCTGAACTAGAGTGATGTCACAGGGGAAGAATACATTATTATGGAAAAATCCACAGGACCATAAGTTCAAGAAACCCAGGAGGTCACTGAGTTCAACTGACATGTTTTACAGATGAGGTGGCAGATGAAAGTGAGGGAGGAATCGGAGTGGTCTTTAAAGTAAAATGCCCATGACTTATAGATGATAGGGAAGTGAGAGTGGGTGGAGTTGATTTGGAAGGGAAGATGAGAGGTAATGTACCCAGAGCTCTAGACAGAGTCAGAACTAAATAGAATCCTCCCTGTCTCTACCTAGCTGTGTAATCAGAGGCAAATCTCTTTCCCTCTCACGACCTCAATTTCCTGAGGCAGTTGGATTAGTTGGTTTCTAAGGGCCTTCTGAGTATATTTCTGGGGGGTTTTTTGGGTTTTGCAATTTTTTTTGCCTCCTATCCTGGTGTGTCTAGCCTTTCTCACCCACCAATCTCCACTTCTTTCCTTAGAGGTCACTATTTCACTGGCCTAGAAACAGTTTGGGAAGAATGGGACGAGTTCTCTGGGTGACTCGTCCCAGGGTGAACTGCCATCTCTCCTCCCTTACCCCTTCCTCCCTTCTCCCCCAGACGTTGCAGTAGGTGCTCCATTTGAGGGTTTGGGCAAAGTCTACATCTACCACAGCAGCGCCTCAGGCATCAGCGACCGACCTCAGCAGGTACAGGGAGTGGGCTTGCCACCGGCCTGGCCACCTGCCTGTCAGTCAGTGTGTTCATCCTTCCCTTTTTGTCCAAGTGCCTGTGTGTCCCATGTACCTGTCTGGTCTTTCTGTCCATCAACTGTTTGTTGATCCCATTGCTTAACAGCCAGCCACAGGGGGTTTCTGGTCAGCCGTCTCTCTCTTGGACTGTCTGCCTCTGTCTGCCTTGTGTCTGGCTGTCCAGTTATCTACTAGAGCATCCCTCTGTTTGTCATCCCCACCTCCCCCACCAAACATACACACAGAAACCAGGGTGAGGGGTAACTCCTTAAGCCCCACAATCCCTGCCATCTTCTCCTCTGCAATCTCTCCCTGCACACACTACCACCACACACCCCACTTTGCTCCCAGGTGATTCATGGGGAAAAGCTTGGCACCCCTGGCCTGGCCACCTTTGGCTACTCGCTGAGTGGGCGGCTCGACGTGGATGAGAACTCATACCCCGACCTGCTGGTGGGGAGTCTGGCTGACCGCATCGTGCTGTTGCGGTGAGCAGGATGGGAAACATCCTCAAGGGTAGTGGGATGGACTGGCTTGGGGGACCCATTAGGAGTCAGGAGATCCATGCCTTGTCTGTCCCTTACTGTCTTTCAATCAGCAAGTGTCTAACGAATGCCTTTTCTGTGTCCAGCTCTCTGTGTCTTTGTCTATGTCTTTCTGTCTCTCCTTCCTTATTTCTCTATCATATTGGCTCCATTCTCCCAGTTGGAGGCAGGGTGGTATAGTGGAGAGAGTCCTTGACTGGGAGATAGGATCTGTTCTAGGATCTGATATTAACTAGGCAGCTAGGTGGTCCAGAGGACAGGGCCCTGGATCTGGAATCAGGAAGACCTAAGTTCAAACCCAGCCTCAGATACTTCCTGGCTAAGTCTCTGAGCAACTCACTTAACTTCTGTCTGCCTCAGTTGTCTCATCTGTAAAATGGAGATAATAATTGCATCTACCTCCCAGGGCTGTTGTGAGGTTCAAATGAGATAATATTGGTAAAAGTGCTTTGTAGCCTTTACTGAGCAATATAAATGCTAGCTATTATTATTAGTTTACCCTCACTTACTGTACTAAATGTCTCTCTTTGTCCTGAGAGGTCACCATTTCCATGAGTGTCTGACCTACGTCTAGGATTAGGTGATGGGGGTGAGGAGGAGCCCAGGCTGATCTAGACCATCTCTCCCCTCACCTCACTCCCAAGACTTCAAAGTGGGTACAACTTACAGGGGACAGACTGATGTGCCATGTGACCTTTGCCAAGTTATGCCCTATCTTCTGGACTCGATCTCTTTATCTGTGACCAGGGGGTGTTGGATTAGATGGATTTCAAGGTCTCCTCTAGCTCCGGAGTTCCATGAGCAATGTTCTGAGCTCTTCATGGAGCAGGGGCTTGGGGGTCTGCCCATACTGTACAATCTGACAACCAAATGATACTTGCCAAGATGAGACTTCCCTTCCTCCCCGCAGAGCCCGTCCAGTTATCAACATCCTTAACAAGACTCTGGCAGTGAGGCCTACCATGCTGGATCCTACTCGCTGTACTTCTACCTCCTGGTGAGCTACTCTCCCCTCCAAATCCTTTATGAGCCCTCCCTTCTCACACTCCTTCCCGCAAACAGCTTTACCCGCTCTTTAAACCTGGTATCTTCCCCTTCCTCCCTACCCCATCCCCTGTAGAAGGTAAGCTCCCAGAGGGGAGGGATAGCTTTTCATTTTGTGTTTGTATCACTAGTACCTAGCAAAGGGCCTTGCACATAGTAGGTGCTCTTTCTCGATTTGTGAATGAATGAAAAGAGAGACAGGGACATTAGAGACAAGTGTTGCTGACTTCTCAGTTTTACCCAGGGCCACCCCACATTCTGTCTTCCCAGCAAGACTGCACCAGCCTTCTTCTGGTGCCTTGCCTTTCCTTTTGCCAGTGGCTGAGGGAGGCGGGACCCAGGGATGCTTATTGTCCCCTTCTCTTGACCTCCTTCTGGTGGTCCTTGTAGCATTCAGGTCGAGGTGTGCTTCGCCTACAACCAAAGTGCAGGGAATCCAAGCTACAGACAAAACATCAGTGAGTGTCTTGAAATGGGGGAGGTTAAGGGGATCTGGGCATGGGGATTGGGGGCACAGTGCAAAAAAATCCCAGTGGGTTTGGAATTCATTGAGGAATTCAAGACCCAATTCTGCAACTTGCTAGTTTTGTGACCTTGGCTGAGTCACTTTTACCTCTCAGAGCCTCAGTTTCCCCATCCATAAGATGGAGGCAACGAGAGTTGTTAGCTCTAGCTAGGCACTATGGGATTGTTGTGGGGATCAGAGAAATAAGTTTATGTAAAGCTTTGTAGCAGTGTGGAAACACTAGCTGTGAGTCCTCTCTGTGTGTTATGCAGATATAAACTATAATTATTATTCTTATCCTATTACATGTCCACCCTGGTTGACCTCCTTGCTGCCTTCTCACAGCCCTGGCATATACCCTGGAGGCAGATCGAGATCGACGCCCACCCCGAGTCCGGTTTGCTAAGAGTCCTTCTTCTGTTTACCATGGATTGTTTTCCATGCCTGACACCCGCTGCCAAACCCTTGATCTGCTTCTGGTGGTGAGGAATGGGCGGGTGTGTGTGTTCCTGTGTGTTTATGTGAAAACATTCCCATCTGAGATGATTTCAAGTAGCTGACACCATTGGAGCCAAACAGCTGATGACACAGATGGGTGGGTGGAGGAGCTGGGCTATAGGGAGTCCAAGGAAGGGGTGGCCTTCGTATTAGGGAACCAGCTGGGTAAAGAGTACTAGGCCTAGAATCCGGAAGACGTGAATTCAAATCTAGCCTCAGACACTTACTAGTGGTGTGCCCCTGGGCAAGTCACTTAACCCTGTTTACCTCAGTTTCTTCATGTGTAAAATGGGGGTAATAACTTGTACCTACCTCCCAGGATTGTTGTGAGGATCAAACTGAGATAATATTTGTAAAGCATTTAAACAGTGCCTGGTACAGAGTAGGTACTTAATCAATTATTGTTTCTTTCTTTCCTTACTTTAAATATTCTTAGAGTGAAGTCAAGTTTATTAAGTTCTTACTTAACTGCTGTCTACCTCAGTTTCCTCATCTGTAAAATGGAGGTAATGCTAGCACCTACCACACAGGGTTGTTGTGAGGATCAAATGAAATCGTATTTGTAAAGTGTTTTGTGAACCTTAAAAAGCGCCTTATAAATGCTAGTACTGTGGTGATGATGCACCTGACTTAATTACTTTATTAAGTATTATGTGCCACTTTGCTACAGTGGAAGAATAAGAGGATTCTGGGTTCCAGAGGTGGTATACTCAAAGGGCTATACTATATATGGAGGTCTCTCTGTAGAAAAGATCCAGTAGGGAAGGAGTTATGGGTGGATGGGAATGATCCTCAGCTTCCCTCCCCTTTTCCAGGACAGTATTCGGGATAAGCTCCGCCCTATCTCCATCTTCATGAACTACTCCTTACCAGAGAAGCTTCCTGAGCACCCGCGCCTGGGACTCCATTCCCTGGATGCCTTTCCTGTCCTTAATGAGGCCCAGCCCAGAGAGAACCAAACGGAGGTCAGTTAAGTAGGCATTTTGGAGTATACAAGGAGGAGGGCATGGAGAAAGGCTAAGTAAGGGGAGGGACAGAGGAGCCTAGGACCTGGGGAGTCAGGTGGCTGAGAATATAGGTCTGAGAAGGGGGGGGAGGGTAATAAAATTTGTTTCAGGACTCAGGATCAGGAGCACCCTGCCCCTAAGAGGACCTCCAAGGACTAAGGATGGGGTGGGGGAGTATCCAATACCTATCATGTCCTTTTGCATATGGATTTGGGGGCAGAGCAGCAACATTCCCTCTCTAGGACAACTATTCCCCTGACATTAGAATTTCCAGGGATCATCTTTTCCTGAAAAACTTTATCCCCATTACTGTTTTCTCCCTCCTCTCTTCATACCTCCAGATTCAGTTCCAGAAGGAGTGTGGTACTGACAACAAGTGTGACAGTAACTTACAGCTTCAGGCTGCCTTCTTGTCTGAACGGCTACAGCCCATTAACAGGTGAGGGACCAGGCTGGGGTCAGGGGATCAGACCTAGACCTCATTGTACTGGTGGGACCTAATGGGGAGGGCCTGGGCCTCCTTGGTCAAATGGGGGCTGGGGGAGGCAGAATCTGATTGATTGGCCAAGAGGGAGCAGAAGGGTAGAGGACTACTCATTCCCCAGCCTTGTTTCCATTTTAACCTCTAGACTCCAGTACAGTAAGGATGTCCGGAAGCTGTACCTGAATGTCAACATAACCAACGTGCCCAGCAGGCACCGAGCTGGGGAGGACGCCCATGAGGCCTTGCTCACCTTAGTTTTGTTTCCAGCCTTACTTATCTCTTCTATCCGCCCTGTGAGTCTGCCCATTCCCATCCCCAGTTACTCATTGGAACCTCCGGAGGTCTGAATGGGAGAGCAGGGATATCACCATCCATGTTCATTTGCATGTTGATTTGAATGCTTTGGGATTCACTATGTGCCTTCCCCCCAACCCCCCACCTCCACCTCTGTTTAATAAACAATCCCCCGTTACCATTTGTGGTTGGGCTGGAAGAACTGGTTGAATACAACCTCAGCTGGCCCCGCATCCTTGCTGTCTTCCCCTCACTTAACCTCCAGACCTGGAATTTCTTGAGATGGAGATTCTCAAGTTGTCCAGTAGGGGGAGAAAGCTGTTCCCTGTTTGTCTGTGTAGAGGAGGGATGGGAAGTAGGGAGTCAGGAGACTCTACCATTGAAGCATATTTTGGGAATGGATGAACCAAATCTGACTAACTATCCCTGTTCTCCAAATCTTTCTTCCATCTCATCCCCATCCAAAGGCTGGAGCCTGCCAGGTCAATGAGACTATCGTGTGTGAGCTGGGAAACCCTTTTAAGAGGAACCAGAAGGTGAGAGATTCAGAGAGGGATACAGGCCCCAGGGTAAATCTTATACCCAAACCAAATGATAGGGTAGATTGCTGTGCCTTGATCCACTCCTTTGTTTTCATCTGCCTCTATTCTCTCTTCCTCAGATCTAAGCTCTCTTAGCCTTCCTGGTATTCCTGAAGCCTAGCTGGCCAGGGTCCTTCTTACTTTGGCCCAGGAATTTATCTTGTTCTGTCCTGTTCTGTTTCCTCAATGTCATAGAAGCAGAGAAACAAGGAGAGATACAAGAATGTAGAAGGAAACATGTAGCTGTATCGGATGAGAGGGATGAAGAATGGGGTGGGAAAATTCATTCATTTCCATAGATATCCCTCTAGCAAATTTAGGGATGAGCATCCCCACAGGGAGCCCATGTAGGTATCAGGTGCTGACAGCCACGACAACCCTCACTTCCCTCTGATGACTATTGGCTCATTTCCTTATGTATTCTCTGAGGCAGTCAGGGGGTGTGTTCTAATATTTCCTGATAAATTAATAGAAATACACAACCTCTTGTTATTAATTAACTCTGATCCCCCATTCCAGTTTTTAAGTAAACTGGAGAAATGTCTTCTGTAAGATTTCGTTCCTGTGTTTCCTTCTCCCTCTCTCATGTATCTGTGTCTGTTTTTTCCTCTCTCCCTTCCTGCCCCAGTTTCCTCCTTCTGTATCCCAGTTTTCCTCTCTCCCCTACTCCCTCCTCCTCTCCTTCTTCCCTTCTCTTCTCTCTGCCTCCATCTCTCTTTTTTGTCTCTTTCGTTCTCTGTCTTTCTCTCCTCTCCCTCCAGCCTCTCAGGTTTAAATAACATAACATTAATGTTACTGGCTGTGTAATTGATTACTACTGTAACAAACAGTACAAAGACGTATTTAAATATTTCAACAATGTAACATCTGTAAGAAAAATCTCCGCCCAGGCAACCTTTAAGTAGAGGTTGCAACTGCTGACGACTGTAGTGATACAATTCGGTTGTCTCAGGATGCCACCCCTGCAGGATCAAAGTTAAACAGTTCTTTCAGAATGTCGCTTCTCATCCTCTGTGACTATCGGTTCGCACAGTCTCTCAAGAAGTTCTCTTTAGTTCTTTCTCCTGGGGTCTCACAAAGTCTTAATCAGCCGGGACAGTTAATACTCTCCAGATGACAATTAATAGCAACTCTCCAAGCTTCCATTCTTAAAGATGCAGTAACTATAGTCTCAATGAGAGAAGCCAAGGGCTAAAAATATAAAGAAAAAAAAAAGAAATAGTTCCTGCCTTAAAAACACAGACATCGGCAGAGAATGAGGGGCACAAAGAGAGAGGGGAGGGAAAAGAAACAGTGAGAGTTGAGGGTAGAAGAGGAAGAAAGTAAGTTGTGGAGGTGGGAGGGGAGAGATACCCTCAGAAGGGGAAGGATACTGAATGAACAAATATTCCCGGTATTGTACTTTCTTGACCTTGCCTTTGACCATGGGGACAGGAATTCAGAGACCACTAACCTTTCTCATTACACCTTCCCCTCAAAGATGGAGCTGTCTATTGCCTTCGAGGTCGTGGGTATCACTCTGCAGACTCAGGACATCGAGGCTCAGTTGCAGCTTTCCACGTGAGTGGGAGTGAGGTGGGTGGGATAAAGATGCACTCCACCCCAACTTTTCGGTCCCTGTCATGGGTGAGAAAGCCTTTCCTCTGCTGTTCTCCACCCTATTGTATCTCCCTAGGTCCAGTCACCAGGATAACCTAAAGCCTGTGACCTTGATGCTACAGGTTGATTATGCACTCCAGGCCTCACTCAGCATGTGGGTAACTCCTTGTCTTGTCGCCACATATTCTGCAAGCTACACTCTTTCCCTTAGCGCAAGTCTCATGACACAAATACTGTCCTAGTTTTGTTTCCCATCTTGTTTTCTCCATTTTATGTCCTATCTCTTTTGTTCTCTCTGTCCCATAGCCTGTCTCCTGTTTCCTTTTTTCTCCATTTCCCTCATTTATCCTTCCTTTCACTTGTACCTGCTGTCTCTGTCTCTCCCTCATGTCCCCCTCCCCCAGCCCACACATTCAATCCCTGTCTGTCCTTGTACAGGGTGAATCACCGGCTACAGAGTTACTTTGGAGGAACAGTGATGGGAGAGTCAGGCATGAAAAATGTCACTGATGTCGGGAGCCCTATCACCTTGGAATTCCAGGTATGGAAAGTTCTGGGGTGAGGAAAGGTGTTGGGTCAGAAAGATGGTGGTAGGGAAGAAGTTGGGCCTTTTTGGAAGAGCTGGGGTTGGTTGAGAGGTCATGGGTTAAGGAAGTCATCCTCATGAAAGGCCGACAGGGGAAATATGATGCCCCAAGGATAGGAGGGCTAGTGGGAGGTGGTAATGTCAGGTGTGATATTAGGAGAGGGGGTCAATCTGGGCTGCTATCCTTGGTACTAACAGATCTCCTGGGGCCTTCTTTACTCATAGGTGGGCCCAATGGATGAGGGGCTGGCAGCTTTGGGAACTCTGGTCCTGGGGCTGGAATGGCCCTATGAAGTTAGTAATGGCAAATGGCTTCTGTACCCCACCGAGATCATCATCCAGGGCAATGGAACCCGGCACTGCCAGCCACCTGGGAACCTTATCAATCCTCTCAACCTCACTGTAAGCAAATTTTTCCTCCTCCCCCCTACCTAGCTCACCTGGGGTCCAGTTATCACCTCTACCAATTACCAAGGGCTAACTGTGCCTGGAAAAATGAGGCGTTGAGCATCAGCTGTTGAGACTTGCCCTGGCCCTTTGCTTTGGACCAGACTGGCTCTCCTTTCTTCTCCTTTATCCTCTCCTCATTGATGTGGTCTCCTTTTCTCCTTTTTTCCCCTTCCTTCCTCTGTTCCTTTTCTTCCTACCTATCTGTCCTGTTCTTTCCAACAGATTTCTAGAGATGAAGCCCCTTTTCATCGACGATGGCGAAGGGAGTTGGATCCTGGAGAATCACAGGCACCTCCTCCTATTACCCTGGCCACTTCCAAGAAGGCAGAGTCAGAGACTCTGTTGGTGAGTGTCTGGGGAAAGGGGCTGATGCTTGGTGGATTTGATGTCAATCAAATCTGGAGCCCCTCCTTCAACCCCAGAAACATATGGGGGCTGGACAGAAACTCAGAGCACCATAGGGTTTACAGCACAAAAGGGCCTTGGAGGTCATCCAGTCTAACATTTCATTTTAAAGAGAAGGAAAGTTATGTCAAGTTAAATCAAGTCAACAAGTATTTATTGTGCGCCTACTATGTGCCAGGCACAGTGGTAAGTGCTGGAGATACAAAGAAATTAAAAATAAAAAGACAGTCCCTGGTCTGAAAGACCTCACAGTCTCTAATGGGGGAGACAACATGTGAATAACTATGCACAAACAGGATATAAATGAGATAAGTTGGATATAATTAGCACAGGAAAGGCAGTAGCATTAAGGAGTATTGGGAAAGGCTTCTTCCAGGATAGGATTTTAGTAGGATTGGAAGGAAGTCAGGGAAACCAGGAGGCAGAGATGAGGAGGGAGAAAATTATAGGCATGGAGGACAACAGAGAAAATGCCTAGAGTCAGGAGATGGGGAAGTCTCTTGAAGGCCAATGTTGAGTGATCAAAGACTGTGTGGAGAGTAAGGTATAAAAAAACTGGAAAAGTAGGAAAGGGCCAGCTTAAGGTCTTGAAAAGTCAAACAGTGCATTTTTTATTTGAAACAAATAAAGAGAAGTGTTGAAAGAGTAGCAGACATAGATTCTAATATAATGTTCCTTCTACTATAATTAAGAAGATAATGGGAGAGGCCACTGGGGTTATGTTTAGGATAATGTCAAGCAGGAGGCCTGAAAATCATGCCATGGAAGGATCAGTTGAAGGAGCCAGGAGTATTTAATCTAGAGAAAAGAAGACTTATATCCAATGGCAGCCCTTAAGTATTTAAGTTATTATATTTAAGTATTTACATTATTGAAGTATTACATAAGTTACCTTAAGTATTAAAGTATTAAAGGTAATTAAGGTGTTTAAGTGTTTATGCTGTCATGTGGAAAAGGCATTAGATTCATTCTGCTTGGATCCAGAGGGTACAGTTCAGGATCACAAGGGTAGAAGATGCTGCTTAATATAGGGGAAACTTGCTAAGAATTAGTTATCTGAAAATGAGAAGGGCTTCTTAGTAAAGTAACGGAAGTATGTATTCAAGCAGAGATGTAACTGTCTGGAATCCTTCCAGTGCTAAAATTCTGGAATTTCACTTGTCCAGCCTTTATTTATTTATTTTAGCCACAAGTCTCCCAGAAATAATTTTTGGGGTTAAATTTAACATTATTTAATCCAAGCATTTCTAATTTAGAAAGAGAAATGTCGAAAGTGAAATAGTACCACCCAAACCTCACCCTATGCCCTTGGATATCTTGAAATAGGTGGAAGAGTGAGATATTCCTAGAGTTAGGAAGATATGAGTTCAAATCCAGCCTCAGACATTTACTAGCTGTGTGACTCTTGTCTCGGTTTCCTCATCTGCAAAATGGAAATAATAATAGCACCTATTTCCCTATTGTGAGGATCAAATGAGACATTTGTAAAGCACTTTGCAGACCTCAAAGGACTATATAAATGCTAGCCATTGTTATTATTATGTCTCTGAAATAAAGTAATTTGATGTAAGATTTATAAGAATTCAGAATAAGGGAAAGATTATGTTAAAGGTCACAGTTTTAGCTTTGGGTTCTATCTACATAGTACATTGAGAACATTCTTCTCCACCTAATAGAACCAGGTCACTTGATCTTCTCCTAAACCTACTCAATTACTCTTTTGACCCTGCCTCTTAATTGTTCTAAAGTGATCTGAAGACCCTCCTCCTGATGATTCATACCCTCATTCTTTCAGAATGGAGAAAGAGGGACTGCCCACAGTTGGGGCAGGGTCATGCTTTTGCTCTTGACCTTTCTTGACTTGTGCTAACCTTTAGCAAACTCCTAGTCTGAGGGAGGAGATGGGGGAGAAAGGACAGAGGTCCAAATGAGCACAGTTGTTCAGTCATTTTTCAATTGTGTTCAATTCTTTATGACCCCATTCTGGGTTTTCTTGGCAAAGATACTGGAATGGTTTGCCATTGCCTTCTTCAGCTCTTTTGACAGGTGAAGAAACTAAGGCAAACAGGGTTAAGTGACCTGCCCAGGATCACACAGCTAGTAAGTGTCTGAGCCTAGATTTGAACTCAGGAACTACAGCTAGTAGGTGTCTAAGGCCAGAGTTGAATTCAGGAACTAGTCAGATTTGAACTCAGGAAGATGAGTCTTCCTTATTCCAAGTCCGGTGATCTATCCACACCACGCCACCTAGTTGCCCAGATGAGGTTAAAAATGTTTCAGACAGAGGGAGCTGGGCTGGTTGGGAAGGGTCAGGGAAAGCTGTGAGGAGTGGGGTATGGAGAACAGGGCTGGAAAGGAAGGGAAGTTTGAATGGGCACATAGGTTGTGGTGGATCAGTCTATTCAAATCTCTCCTCAAATAGATCAACTTTCATTTTCATCTTCTTGTCTCTAGTGACTAGTTAGGTATTTGGCACATAGTAGGCACTTAATAAATGCATATTGGATGAATCAGTAGACGGATGTGGAGATATGGAGGCCCAGTTGTCTGGCTATATGGATGCATATGGCTATATGGAGCATATATGGATGTACTAGGCAGAGAGAACAAGGACCATGATGGGAATGTCTATGAAAGAAGGGTTGAGTTACTTGGAGAAGATTCCCTTAGTTGTTCTCTGTTCGATGCAGTCCTGTGCCAATGGTCGAGCTCACTGTGTGTGGCTTGAGTGCCAGATTCCTGATGTCTCAGTACCCTCTACCATGACGGTGCAGGCACGAGTGTGGAACAGCACCTTCATTGAGGTTAGTGATCATCTTAGGTGGGGTAGAGGAGTCTAAGCTCCAGTGCACCCCTCCTATCTCAGGCATTTTGGGAAGACAAGAGGGAAAGAATGAAGTAGCCTAGCCAGGCATGTCCCAGCAGGGCCCATCATCCTGGCCCAACCGTCATGGATGTCCGCCTGATACCTTCATTTGACTCCCTCTGGGTGATTGCCATGTGACTGTGTGTAATGGTGTGGCAAGTGCGTATGAACTTTAGTTCCCATGTGTCTGGATAATTTTGTCCTTGCGTGAGATGTCTTTGATGTTTTGGATTCAGTCAGTGTGCCTGTGGGTAGAGGGGAAGACTGACTGCAGAAGCACTGGGGTGAACAGAGGAGAGCATGTCGGTCAGTCTGTGGAGATGGGTCACGGACCCAAGCATGTGAGAACCTTCTGTCCTGAATCTGCCCATGTGGTTGGGCCTTTGTCGATGCTATCTGGGCATAAGGGTTCTGATTTTAGTGGGGGTGAGGGTCATGAGGTCATGAGGCTCTCTCTCTTACTTCACCCTGCCTTGCATTGCAGGATTACAGTGATTTTGACAGGGTCAGGGTGGAAGGCTGGGCCACACTCTTCCTTCGAACCGACATCCTGACCATCAGTATGGAGAACAAGACGACATGGGTGAGTCACAAACGGCAATAAAAGGGTTTGCTTACTTTCATTTCTTGTCTGCTCACTCACAGAAGGTTTTATTTATATGGTACTTTCCAAAGCCCTCCCATATCCATTATCTTGGCAATCTCGGCTTTTCCCCTTCTGGTCTCTGCCTGTTGAGGAATGCAGGGGCAGATGGCATCATTCTTAATTTACAGGTTAAAGAATTGAGGCTCAAGGGCAGCTAGATGGTGCAGTGGATAGAGCACCGGCCCTGGAGTCAGGAGGACCTGAGTTCAAATGTGACCTCAGACACTTGACACTTGCTAGCTATGTGACCCTGGGCAAGTCACTTAACTGCATTGCCTAGCCAAAAAGAAAAGAACTTGCAAGGTAAAGGGGCTGGCACAAAGCTAGGTAGTAGTAATGGTCAGGAGAACGTAGCACCCTAACTCCCAGTCTAAGGTTCTTTTCCTTACACCATAACTCAAAAGGTTAAGACAGGGGTGGGGAGCCTGCGGCCTGGTGGCCACATGTGGCCCTCTAGGTCCTCAAGTGCGGCCCTTTGACTGAATCACTGAAGTTTGGATTCCATCAAACGGCCACACTTGAGGACCTAGAGGGCCATATGTGGCCTCTAGGTTGCAGGTTCCCCACCTTTGAGTTAAGATAAGGGAGTACAAATTATCTTTAACAGCAATGGAATCTTCTCCTTTGTGTGTGTACATGCTAGAGGCAGGAATTGGGGGTGGGGGAAGAAGGAGACACAAGGGTCTTGTACATGGGAGAGATTCTTCTCCAGTTGTAGGCATCACGAAGATGGACAGACTGACCTTTACAGGTCAGACAGGAATTTTTCCTCAGCCTCCAGGCGCCCCCTTCTGGGAGACAGCCAAACTGCAGGGCCTCGTGGCTCAGGTCTGAGAAGAAAGGAATTGGGGGCGGGTGGGGGGAAGGTAAGGAGTCAGGCTAAATGGCCCTTCTCTATTCTTCTGTCCATGCCCATTCACCCACTCCAGTTTTCTGTGGACATTGACTCAGAGCTGACCGAAGAGCTCCCTGCTGAGATTGAGCTTTGGCTGATCCTAGTATCTGTGGGAGCTGGGCTGTTACTGTTGGGGCTCATCATCCTCTTGCTTTGGAAGGTAGGCTCCCCACTCCGCCCCCATCCCCCTCCCTGTTCATTCCATCCCCTCAGGTCCCCTTCCCCCTCCTCTCTCCCTTTCCTACTCCCTTCTTTCCCGTCTCCCCGCCCTCCCTATTTCTTTCTAATCCCCACGTTCGATATTGCCCCGGTAGCATCAGTGAAGGTAAAAGTTCTTGTTAAGACATACAGTCCAGAGTTGGAGAAGAGGATCTAAGGAGTCCACAGACTCTAGCCCCAGCTGTATCCCTGTGACAATCACAGGCCTAGTGATGGGATCCAGGTCTCCCAAGCTCCTCCTGACCCAAGGAATGGGACCTAAATGTCCCATCCTCCAACCCTTGCATCTTTGCAACTCCCCTCACCCTCTCAGGTGGGGACACACCCAGGCTCACCCCACTCTTTGACTCTGCATCGCCCTCCCCCACAGTGTGGCTTCTTCAAACGAGCTAGCACTCGGGCCCTGTATGAAGCCAAAGGGCAAAAGGCGGAGATGAAGAGCCAGCCTTCTGAGACGGAGAGGCTGACCGATGACTACTGAGGGGAGGCCCATCCCTCCCCACCCCACATACACCCCGGGTAAATCCTTCCATTTGAAACTTAACAAAACCCGAATCAAGAGAACCCTCTTCCTCTCAGCTCCCTACAGTCTTTGTGGGGCAGAGTCTGTCCTGTCTTCTCTTCCTCTGATTCCCTCTTCACATCACAAACTCTTCCAAGGTGTCTTCAGATTTCCCCTCTTCACCTTGGCTCTAGATACCCACTTTGGAAAGAGAAAGGACTTTGATGGCCTAGTGGAAGACTATAAAAACACACATCCAGGGTTCCTTCCCCCTATTTTGCATACGCATCCCACTCCCTCTGCCCCTGAAGGGGGCTAGCTTGTCTCCTTCCAAGTTTCATAGCTTGTCCTCTGAACCAGAGAAGTGGGATTGGGGGAGGTCCTTGGGCATGGAAGGCCACAGGGGTTTGAGCTTTTTGGGGCTCCATTCCAGTCTGGGCAGAACCTCTTTATCTTTTAGAACTGGAGAAGAGACTGGGAGTAGGTCCTTTCCTCACAACCTTCTCCGATTCTGAAACACATTTCTAGGCCCATCTTTGACCCTTCCCCCCAGGCCCAAAGCCAAGTGGGATCTCTGGAAGAGGCAGAGAATGATTAGATACATTTCATGCTGGATGATCTAATGATTTTTAAAGAATATCCCTGAGGCCATATATTATTATTATTATTATTATTATTATTGTTTTGCTTTTCCCTTCAGTTGTCTTGCTTGGAATTGCTAGAATCTCTTTCCTGACTGACCCTTTCCTTTCTCCCTGCAACACTCCCACCCAAGAACCTCACTTTCTGTCCCTCCATCTCTACTTTCCTTCTGTTCCATTCTGCCTATTTCTTTCAAGTCCTCTTCCTCTTTATCCATCAGGTCTCCTGTTAAGGGAGGGGAGGGATGGGGGGTGGAAGGTGGTAAGCAATTTTGGGTTGTGGGGAGGGAGGTCCCAAGAGTTCTTGACTTGGTGAGGGGAGTAGAGGGAACTGTCTGGAAGGGCCCTGGAAAAGCTGGTGCCAAAGGCTAAACCATATTTTCTTTGGGAAGAGGGAAGTAGAGACAAGGGGAAGTTCTACGGGAAGACTGTGTAGAGGAGGGCAAGGACCCACTCCTCTTGGAGCACATCTGGCCTGCTAGCTTGGAACAGCTGGATGACTGGGTACTGACATTCCTTATTTTCTCTCTTTCCTCCTTGGGGGTTCTCTACTTTCTGTCCATTTTCTCCTGACAACCTGTACAGTGTGATTTCTTCAAACGGACCCATTATTATCGGATCATGCCAAAGTACCATGCTGTGCGGATTCGGGAGGAGGAGAGGTACCCACCCCCAGGGGGCACATTGCCCCCCAAGAAGCACTGGGTCACCAACTGGCAGGATCGGGACCGATACTACTGATATTTTCCTAAGCTTTCATCTGTGCCCGTCTTCACTACCCACTTCCCCAAATCCAATCCCTTTCCATTCTGTTTATCTTAAGTTATGCCTCCTGCTGCCTGCAGGTGGCACCACTTGGTCCTTGGCACCTTTGGGTCCAGGATTCTTTTCTCCATCTCCACCCCTACTATGGCCAGGGAAGTGCCTTCCCTTACCTTCCTAAATATAATCCCTTGCCTCTCCCCACTTTCTTTCTTTCTTTCTCTCTCTCTGTCTCTCTGTCTCTCTCTCTCTTCCCCTCTCCCTTTTCCCCTCTCCCTCTCTCCCCCCTTCTCCCTCACTACACATACACACATGCTGATTACTCATCCCTCCCTCCTCTAGGCTCCATTTCCTGCCTTTTAGGTGAGGAGGGACTGTGGACACTTGCTATGGCCATGTTCACACTACCCCTTGTGCCTGCATACATGTGATCCCATGTACATGTTCAAGGGATTTACTTGCATACATGTGACCGTGCTTGGAATATCCCAGTCTTTGCTGGTGCCAAAACCTGGATGTCCCTCCCCATTCACTTCCTGCCTCCTTCATAACCTTGTTTAACCCCCTGATCCCTTGGGATCAGGAAGAATGAAAACCCCAAGGCTTCTGGGGAAAGAATCACTCTTGACATTCACACTGGACCTAATTTGAGCCATAGCCACTGGACTGACTCTTCTTGGGGGCGATGATGACTGCTCAAGTTGGGGCAGGGATGACCCCCATCTAAGGCCACTGGCCATTCACTAACAGCAAAAGAGAAACTTCTAAGGTGGGGAGGAAGTTGACAGGTCTTTGACCAACCAAAAGGACTTCCTTCATAGCCCCTTTCAAAGACTTGCTCCATTCTCCCTCTTGATCACAGACTGAACCTGCAGAGAATGTAGCATTCAACGGGAAGGTTAGAAACAAGATTGCTGCCTGACAATGGTCACTGTCCACAGTGAAAGATATACAAGGAGGTGGGTTGATGTGAGCAGATCGGGGAGACTCGGAAGAAAGAAGGGAGATTGGCAAGGTGGGCTGGGTATGAGATGGGAATGGCCATCACTTCTCCCCCTACCTTTCTGCCTCACTAGGGCTGGAAAAGGAAAAAAGGCAATGATCATCCCTGGGTCCTAGCAGGGCAAATGGGGGAAGAAGGTGAGTTGAGGGAAACAGACGACTGAATGAATGTAGAGTAGGGCCTGGGGCTTTGGAAACAAGCCCTTGCCCTCCCCAGCTGGACCTCTCCCTCCACCACTACTCTCCATGACAGCTGCTTCTCCACTCCTCCCTTGTACTCCGCCCCGCCCCCCAACCTCTCACCATGATCTGAGATCACTGGGAAGAGTATGGTTCTTGGAGGTCAAAGTCTTCATTATCAGCACTGGGGCTAAGACACAAAATACCTCCCTCCTCTGCCCAAGGGAGGTCAAAGGAACCTTGAGGTTAACGCACTCGAGTCTGGTTCCTTGGATGCTAGGGTTAAAAGCTACTATTTGTTCTCCTCCCCTGGGCCTGCTATACCCCCCCTCTTCCATGGTACTGTAGCAGGGGACTCCCCTCCCCATCCTCGTGCCTTCACTGTATATAGGCTTCTCGTGGCAACCAATAAATTGCTTCTGATTTGTAAGATATAGTATCTCACGCTATTGACCCACTTGTATCAGGCACCATCTGCCACCAGGGGATGGAGTCTTGTGTAGGGTCCATCGTGGGTCTCCCTTTCTGATGGGGGAGACCCTGTCTCTGCCATCTGAAAGGTCCTAGGTTCCCACACTCAGGAAAATCAAAGGCTGATGGGTGGGGTCAATCAGTGGGAATACACAGACAAAAATGACTTGTCCTCAAGGAGCTTGTACATTCTTTAGAGGAAATGGCACATACCTATTTATACAAAATACAAACAAGGCAGATTTGAAGGGTGAGAGGACACCAGTTGGTGGGAAGGTCAGGAAAGGCTTCATATAGAAGTTTGTGCAGGAATAGCATACTGAGAGAAGTGGAGGGAATCTAAGAGGAAGTGCCTAGGTAGGAGTGACTTCCAGTCATGGGAGATGGCCAGTGCAAAGGCAAGGAGATGGGAAGTGAAGTGTCCAGTGTGAAAACTGGCAAGAAGCCTAGTATTCTAGGACCAACAAGTGTGGTAGGGGGAATAATGTATAATAATGTATGTCAGCTAGCTGGTGAAATGGATAGAGCACTGGGTTTGGAATCGGGAAAACTTCATGAGTTCAAATCCAGCCTCAGATTGGCTGTGTAACCCTGGGCAAGTCGCTTTACCCTGTTTGCCTCGGTTTCCTCATCTGTCAAATGAGCTGGAGAAGGAAATGGCAAACCACTCCAGCATCCTTGCTAAGGAAACCTCAAAATCAGGTCAGGGAGAGTTAGACACAACTGAACAAGGTTGGAAAAGTTTATTAGGGTTGGATTGTGAAGGGCTTTAAAAACTAAGTGGAAGAATATATATTTGATCCGAGAGACAATAGGGAGCCATTGGAGTTTATTGAGTGGAGGAGTGGCATAGTCAGGTCTGCATTTTAGGAAAATTATTGTGGCCACCCTGTGTGGGACAGATTGGAGAAAGTAGAGACTGGAATCAGGGAAGCCAATTAGGAAGCTATTTTAACAGTCCAGGCTGGAGATAATAACTGGAGTGATGGCTATATAAGGAGAGAAAAGGGAATAAATGCAAGAAATTTTGTGGAGGTAGAAACAAGATTTGATTAGATATGTGGGATGAGGGCTAGTGAAGTCAAGTATGATGCTAAGGTTGTGAACCTAAAAGAATGGTGATGACTTCTCCAGAAATAGAGAAGTTCATAAAGAGGTGGGTTTAGTGGGCATAATTTGAGTTTGAAAGGAGGGGCAGTGAGGTGGTTCAGTGGGTAGAGCACTGACCCTGGAGTCAGGAGGACCTGAGTTCAAATCCAGCCTCAGATACTTACTGGCTGTGTGACCCTGGGCGAGTTATTTAATACTGATTGCCTCAAAAAAGAAAGGAAGGCCTATGAGACAACCAGGTGGAAACATCCAGTTGGCAATTGGAAATGCACAACTGGTGCTTAACTAGTTCCCCTCCTTTTACTTTTCAACCCTTTGCAATCTGGCTGTTGACCTCATCACTTCAATTCTCTCCAAAGTTACCAATGATCCCCTAATTGCCAAATTGGATGGCTTTTCTCAATCCTTATTCTTGACTCTTTTTGCATTCCCCAGCGTTTGGTACAGTGCCTGGCACACAAGTGGGAGCTTAATACGTGCTTATTGATTGGTGAATTGACTTCTCTGCAGCTTTTGACTCTGCTGACCACCTTCTCCTACTGGGTAATCCTGTTCCCCTGGTTTTCCTCCTACCTGTTTTCATCTTACCAGTCTCTTTTGATGGCTTACCATCCACATTACAACCTCTTACTCTGAGTGTTTCCCAAGGTTCTAACCTGAGTTTTCTTCTCCCTGCATTCTCTCTCTTGGTGACCTCACAGCTCCTATAGGTTAATTAACAACTCTATTGCGATGACTCCTGAATCGTTATATCCACCCCTAAGGCTACAGAACTGATTGTACATAATGGACTTGAAAGTCTGGGGAATGGATGAAGTGAAACTAAATTAGGGAAGACTTCCTGCAAGAAGGGAATATTAAGCATTTTGACATTGAGTGAATGACCTTAGTTGGGAGGCTTCTGAGCATTATAGCATCATAGATTTAGGATTGGAAATTCACTAGTCCAGTTAACAGACAGTGGGTGAGGGGGAGGAGCCCCTTTTGGCTTTTTCTGTTGACACCCCCATTCAGCTTGGTGAGTGAATAAGGATGAAGACAGAATTGTAGAATCTTGAAGCCAAAAGGGATCACAAAGGTCGACTAGACCAACCTATACTGGAACAAGAATCTTTTCTATGACATGCCTGATAAGTGGCCATCTGGTCTCCACTTCAAGGTCTTGGACTCACTACTTACTGGTGGAGTCTGTTGCATTTTTGGATAGCTCTGATTGTTGTATAGCGTCCACTCTGGGAGCTAGTCCCCCAACATGCACTTGAGCTTGTGGGTTAGGTCCTCAGAGAATGGCTGCTATGTTGAGTTCTGGAGATCGTGCTGTGAGACTGTAGCACTATAGCCCAAAAGCCCCTAACAGTGTGCTTCTAATTAACAGTCAGCCGGTAGAATGAATAAGCTCTTAATGGCATTCACTAAGATTGCATAATCAGAACAGTAGTTAAGTTAACATTCTTTCCATGTTTTTTTTTCTTTTTTTTTTTTAATCTGCACTCAGTCTTCCTGTTTACAGCTATATCTTTAAGTCACAAGTCATGCAGCCTCTGGAAAACTCCATTGTATACTTGTGAGAGAATGAGAGTGCAAAAGGCAAGTAACAACTTAGCATTACTATGAAAACAATTTTGACCTCAAGGACCCCCTGAAAGGGTCTTGGGAATTCCCAAGGATCCATAGAGCAATGGAACATATTTTTCCGCTAACATAGCATACGTGGGAATGGGCACATATAGAGAATTCAGTGCAGGGAACACTAGTGACCAAGGCAACTCATAGTTCTTGGTATTACAGAGCCTAAAAGGCCTTTCTTCATGGAGCCCTCACTCAGCAACCTTTGGGCTCAGTGTGTCTTCAGGGGAAGTTACTCAGCTGGGCTCCCAGCATCTGTTCCTGTCTGTAGCATGATTCTTGATTATCAGGACCATCTCTCTTGAATCCATAATCTTCTCTGCTGCCAGCTTCAAGGAATGGCTGAAGCTGCTTCTTTCTTTGAGTTATTGCCTTTCTGTGTCTATGGAGTATGTCTTTGTCCTGTGCCTCATACTCATGACTGGGATGTCTCCCTCACTTGCATAGCTAAAGATTGTTGTTTGTCTTTTCTCAAAGAGGACCAATGGCGTCAGAAAGGTGTCTTGACTCGAAAGTGAATTGGATTTAAGTGAGGCAGAGCTGTGCAAAGTCATCAGCCCCACTTTCTCCTCCAGAGTCATCTGGGTCCAGTGGCAAGACAACTGGTGATGGGCCCCATGGCTAAAAAGGGGGAAAGAGAATTCTTACTCTGCAGGAGTCTCATTCTACAACCAATCCAAGCTTTGTCTCCCTGGAAATCCCAACTGACTATTTTGTACAGGTCATCCTTGGGCCAGTCAATCAGTGGAATTGACTCTGTTGATTCACTTAGGTGTGCACGCCTTATAAAGGGATCAGTAGTTAGAGGTGTCTTTAGAGATGATTTATCACAGAACTTGAGAAATGGAAGGGGCCTTGGTAACCATCTAGTCCAACTTACATAAGAAAGGAATCCCCGCCATAACATACCCAACAAGTGGTCCTCCACCCTTCGCTTGAAGACTCCAAGGAGGAGAAGCCCATCACCTCCCTAGGCTGCCCATTCCACTTTTGGAAAGTTCTCATTGTTGAGAAGTGGAACCCTTCATTAACACCTTGTGATTACACTCTAGTCTAGGGGTGAAAGGGTTGGTCAAAGACCAATTTCCCTACACTTAACGATGGTTTTTTTCCCTCTTACATCAAGCCAAAATTCTTCAATTTCTACTCATTGCTCATAGCTCTGCCCTATGGGGCCAAACAGAACAAATCTGTCAACTCTGGTTTATGACAGCTCTTCAAATACTTGAAAAAAGCCAACTTATTCCTCCTAATTTTTCTGTTCTCCAAGCTAAAAGTCCCAGTTCCTTTAATGGATCCCCATATGATTAGTCTCTAGTTCTCTTACTGTCCTGGTTCACTTTCTCTGGGCTGGCAATACTTTGTCAATGTCTTTCCTTCTTTCCAAAGACTGGAGCCAAGCACAATACAATACTCAAGTGTGATCTGACCACGACACAGAGGGCAGTGCCTTCTTTATATATACATACATACATACATACATATATATATTTATATACACACACATACACACATACATACATACATATATACACACACATACATACATACATGTATATATATATATAGTATTATATGTTATATATTACCAATATAGCCTCCTTTATATTCTTAATTGTTCAGCTCAGTAATTTTTCAGTCATGCCCAACTCTTTGTGACCCCATTTATGGTTTTCTTAGCAAAGATACTGGAATGGTTTGCCATTTCCTTCTCCAGCAACTTTTATAGATGAGGAAACTGAGGCACAGTTAAGTGACTTGCCCAGGGTCAGACAGCTAGTAAGTATCTGAGACCAGATTTGTACTCAGGAAGATGAGTCTTCTTGACTCTAGCCCTGGCACTCTCTCTACTTCAACATCTGGCTGCCATATGCTTAGTTGGATGCTTATGTAAGAAGGATTAATCAAGTGGAGGCCCCTGATCAATAGGATGAGCTTACATAATGTATGTGAGCCTTTGGAGCATCTGATGAGCACTGCCTCATGAAAAACATGAGCATGTTCATTGATGTTTTGTTGAGAAAATATTTGAGGAGGTGCCTATCAGATAAGGGTAGATACCTTGTAAATTCATCACGTTGATTGGGGCTCTTGTCAGATTGTTCAGGGAACTCCTCTGATCAACCCCTTCCTCCCCCCAAAGGGTTATCTGATTGGTATGCATGCCTCCTTCAAGTCTCTACCAGTACAGAGAGAAACTCTTCCACTTCTTGAATGCTGTATGATTCATAGGCTCATGGGTTTAAGCTGAAAGAACTCTGAAGGCCATGGAGCCCAGCCCCCTTATTTTACAGATGAGGAAAGGGAAGTTGACAACGGTTAAGTGACTTCCCCAGGATCACATAGTAAATGGCAAAGGTAAGATTTGAATCTAGGTCTTCCAGATTCCAAGTCCAATGCTCTGTCTCCTACTATGATATTATTCCCCCCCCCCAATCTTCCAAAGAAGTTTCATCCAACTGAAGCAGTTTTCCTTTACTATAATATACAAGGGGCAGCTAAGTGGCAAAGTAGATAGAGCACCAGTCCTAGAGTCAGGAGGACTGAGTTCAAATTTGACCTCAGACACTAGCTGTATGGCCCTGGACAAATCACTTAACCCTGATTGCCTCCAAAAGAAAATACTCTAACACTTACAACATAATCATTAATGCAGCCTAAATCCCCTTTAGCTTCTTTGGTTGTTGATTAACCCTGCTGACTCATATTAAGCCTGCTGTCCACACAGGCCTTTTTCTCACAGACTGTTATCTAGCCACATTTCCCAATCCTGTATTCATTCAGTTTGTTTTTTTTAACTCAAGTAGGACTTTACGTTTGTCTGTCTTAAATTTCACGTTGTTCAGTTTCAGCCCTTGGTTCTAGCCTTTTGAAATATTTTTGGATCTGATTCTCTTATCTAACATATTCCTCCCAGCTTGGTGCTGTCCAAACATTTGATGAGCTTGCTCTGGGGAAGGAAGGATTCATGTATGGAAGGGCTAATTTCAAATAAAACCAGAGGCTCCATTGTGTCTTTTTTCCACATAAGAGTTCACAGAGCTCAGAGCCCCTTCCTGAGGAAATGGAGGCTCAGAAAGGTTGAGTGATTACAGAAGTAATCAACTACAGTTGGTATTTGAACCCAGGTCTTCTAGTTCATCAGGCAGTCAGGGGGCACAGTGGATAGAGCACCAGGCCTGGAGTTAGGAAGACCTGATTCCAAATCTGGCTTCAGATACTAGCTTTGTGACCCTCAGCAAGTCACTCCACTCTGCCTCTGTTTCTTCATCTGTAAAATGAGCTGGAGAAGAAAATGGCAAACCCCTTCAGTAAGAAAACCTCAAATGGGGTTACTAAGAGACACAACTGAATAAAACAGTAACAAACCTGTGGTAGTTTGCTGGCCTCTAGTACTCTATCGCTTTTTTTAACATCCAAGAGGGACCCTGCATTGAAAGTCAAGAGGAAGAAGTACGAAGCTTCACAGAATCAGGATCTATTGAGCTGGGGATCTCCTGAGGGAGCTTATATTCTAATGGAGGAAAGATGATACATGAAAGGGATACATTGTACATCAATCCCTTGTTTCTAGGCGAGGCCCCAGTGAAGGCCAAGTCTGTGGAAAATTTCACAATAAGAAACTTAAATGCTCCTCCTTGTATCACCGGCGGTGGGGCCTGGCACGTTCGGGAAAACGCACCTGCTAACCCCTCCCCTTGAATACCGCCTTGTGATACCACCTGTCACCACGAGGGGGCACCTAATTGCCTTTTCCTTGAAAGAGTCAGGGTGACCCTGAGGAGCGACGTCGGGAGTGGGAAGGAGAAACCTACACGTAGCAGTAGCAGAGACTGGGCTGTATGTGTGTATGTGAGGGGGAGGGGCAAGAGGGAAGCGTAGGCATACGTGCGTATTATATAATGGGGTAAGGATTCCCTTCACCCCCAAAAGCAAAAGGCTAAAGTGAGGGGAATGAGATCTCCAAGCGCTTAGAGGAGGTATTGGGTTTTAAAGGCCTGCCCGGGGTGGGCTTTTCTTAACCAGAAGATCAAGTGTTTGCATAGCATTTTCATCTTCCTGAGTTCCCAAGGCAGCCAGAGAAGCCCGAATCAATCAATTTCTACCACTTGCAGGCCTCCTTTCTTGCAAACGTGCGGCTGAGTCACTCTCAGCCTGAAAAACCTCCTCCCTTGGGCCTGCAGGCGTGAGCGCCGGGCTGGAGAAGGGCCTCCCACGTCCCACCCCAGGGAGGGAGCCACGGGGAATCCGGGGATGAAAGGGGCTCCCGAGAGCGCAGGAGGATGAGTCTTATCTCCAGGAACTCGGGGTGACCTGTTCCCAAGGCTGGGAAGGTTGAACTTGAACGCTGGGGAGGGGGCAGGTCAATGGGTTGGGCTGCAGGGAGGGAAGGGTTAACAGCTCCAGCCGGGGGGGGGGGCGGGATCGCAGCGGGAGCTCGGTCAAAACAGCAGACGGACCTCGGCCTGAAAGGGTTAAGAGGGTGGGCGCCCCGGGAAGCCACGTGCCGAGACGTCTTCTCATTAGTCCGGCCGGAGTTGTTTGTGTGGAATGATTGGAGGCGGCTGGATCGGGGAGATATGATTGGCTGGGGGAGCGTAGGCCGCTAAAGCCGTGTTGAAGGGGGAGGGGAGGAAGGAGCAGGCTAGGTGGCTGGCCCGGGCTTCGGGAGCGGGAGCTGAGCGAAGCTGGGCCCCGAAACGGGGCCGCCGCCGTCGCTGCCACTGTCGCCACAGCCACTGCTACAGTCACCGCCGCCATGCGTTGGGTCCGGGTGCTGCTAAAGAACGCATCCCTGGCCGGGGCGCGCCCAAGTACATCGAGCACTTCAGCAAGTTTTCCCCGTCCCCGCTGTCCATGAAGCAGTTTCTGGACTTTGGTGCGTAGGACTTTGAGCAGGGAGAAGGCGCAGGGGCCGAAGGCTGGGCAGAGGCGATGGGGAGGCAGGTGACAGCTTGCAGTCTGCAAGGGTTAATGGAAAGCCAAGGGTGCTCCAGGCTGGCAAGGGTTAATGGAGAGTCAGGGGTGCTCCAGGCTAGCAAGGGTTAATGGAGAGTCAAGGGATTTCCAGGCTGAGAAGGGTTAAGGAAAGTCAAGAGGGCTCCAGCCTGGGAAGGGTTAATGGGAGAGTGAAGAGGGTTCCAGGCTAGCAAGGGTTAGTGGGAGAGTCCAGGGGATCCCGGCTGGGAAGGACTATCAGAGAGTCAAAGGGGCTTCAGTCTGGAAAGAATTAATGGGGAGTCAAGAGGGCTTCGGCCTGGGAAGGGTTAATAGTCATAGATCTCTCGGTTGTGAAGGATGAGAAAGAAGGGGGAGGGGGTCCAGATATTAAAGGATAGCCAAGGGCTCCAGTTTGGGAAAGGTTAATGGAGAGTCCAGGGCCCCAGGCTGGCAAGGGTTAATGGAGAATCCAGGGGACTGCAGGCTGGCAAGGGTTAGTGGAGAGAGAGGCAGGGGGCCCCCCTGGCAGTGATGGGGTTAAAGAAGAAATGAAGAGTTGGGCTCTAGTCTGGGAGGAGTTAATGGAAAGGCTGGGCAAGGAGAGGGCTCAGGGCTTGAGTCTTAGAGGGGTAAATAGAGAAGCCAGGAAAGTAGGAGTCCAACCTAGAAAGGTTTAAGGAGGAGACTGAGAAAGGAAGGGTTATTGGTGAAGAACTCCAGACCAGGGGTAGTTTATGAGGAAATCTGGAGGTAAAAGCAGGATAGTCGAATGAGAGGTGTGTGAATAGGGAGCTAGGAAGAGAAGGGTTGAAGAGAAAGGGAATTAAGACTTAGGAAGAGTTGGTGGTGAGGGGTGATGGTAGCAGGCCAGATTGATGGAGGAAGGGATTCTGAGCTGCAAAGGAGTTTTCTTCCGGGAGAATGAAGGAGTAGGAGGGAGGGATAGGTTGGGTAGAGGAGTTGGAAAAAAATTGGGAAGGGGGTCCAGATATTAAAGGATTATTTGTTGGGTAGGGGTGTTCCTACATGTGGTATCCAAGGTTAAGGTGGGATAGGGAACAAGAAGGAGGAGGAGATAGGAGGAGAGACGGGGAGAAGGGGACTGGAACAATAGATAGAGCTGGGCATGGGGAGGGTCAATGATATATATGGCTTCTAATGAGGAAGTGGAGTGCCTAGGTCTTGTGCAGACAATGTTAGGAACACTACGAGGGGTAAAAATACAGATGTCTGTAGACTTATGAATGGGACAGGAGAGACTGCTAGGATATGGGACCTTAGAAAGGAGGAACCTGTCATGAAGGGGGGTGGTTAGAGGGCTCCCACTAGCAACTGGAAGGAGGTGTTAGGGGACTAAGGGTGGGTATTGGATTGCATGGCCCACTCCCCTACCCCCACTGCTTTCAAAGGCTGCCCATCTAAACAAGGACATTTGAAGATCAAAGGCTCCCAAGCTGTTCTTGTGGGTCAGTGAAGTAAAACTTTGGACAGAAACACTCATTAGATTCCTTGAGGGGGTAGGGTGGAGGAGGGGAAAGGAAACTTTCTCTTGGTCTCCCACCCATCTTGTGGACCAGGATCACCTTGTACCAGTCCCCATGATAGTGGGTGGGCCAGTTAGAGGCTGTACTAACTGGGCTCATGAAACGGGTATTGTGTGTTCCCTGAGTCTATCCCTTGGGCACTTCTTTGGTGACAGCTGAGGGTGGGGAGGGAGATCTCCTAGATCTTTGTAGGGTTGGTGAGATAGTGCCTGGCTCTGGTTACAGTCTACATCACTGCCAGGGAGGGTGGGGAAAGTTGGGGAGGAAGAGGGCTGAGTACAGGGCTTGGCAAGGACCTGGAATCAGAGGGGCTGTGGCAGCTAGACACCTGCTCATGGGTCTTGATCCTTCTCTGCCATTCCTTTATCACCTCGTTTGGGCTTTGAGCTGCCTCCCAAGAGGAGAATCCCTTTGCCCATTCCTAGATAGTTCATCCCCAACTAAAGATCTGAGGGTCCCAGCTCCCCGAGTATGAGGGATGACCTGGGGTCAGGGAAGGCAGGGGAGGGTGTGATGCCAGTTCCCCCTTAGATAGGCCTTAGGACAGGTTGTCACTGTACATCTGGCCTTAGCAGGGAGAAGAACCTAAGCCAAAAGTGATGAATTTTAGATTTACTCCTGCAGAAACAGTGAAGTAGGAATAGCTGAACAGTATCAAAGAATAGCAGAAAGAGCCCCCCCCAAAATAAAAAGAATGAGCCCTCCCTGGTTTAGCAGTCAGAGGGTCTGGGTCCACATCCTGCCTCTGAAACCAAAACCAAATCGTTTAACACCCTTGGGCCTCAGTTTCCTCATCTGTAAAATTGGAGACCTATAATCCTGCTTCCTTCCTCTGACTCGCCTCTAATTTCTCCCTGCCTCAACTCAGCTTCTCTTGTTCAGTTAGGCCAATAGTCTAACCCAAGGGCTCTTTGAAGCTTGAGAATCTAAGCCCTCCTCTCTAGAACAAAGCCCTGGGATTAGGACCCTTTTCTATTTGATTTCTCTCCCCATTTCATTCCCTGCTACCCAAATTACTAGCTCATGATGGAGAAGAATAAAAGGAGAAACTTGTTGATTGAGGCCTGGAGGAGCCTGGGTTGAGGTAAAATAGATGTAACTGTGAAATGAGGCTGGGGAGTAGCTATAGAGATGGGTTGGATGGGTGGAGTTTAGGGAAGGAAGGGTAGGAACACTGGATTGGAAAGCAGGAGACCTGGGTTCTAGTCTAGACTTTGCCGCTGGCAGTGGAATTGAGGTAAGTCTGTTCTGTTTCGGGGTCTTCTCAGTTTCCTCCTCTGTAAAGTAAGGGGGTTGGATTAGATGGTCTCTAAGGGTCCTTCTATTTCAAGCAATCAATAGGTTGCTTAACAAACACTTACTAAGCATCTCGCTAGTGCCTGGTACTGTGCTGGGGGTAGGGACCACAAAGACAAAAAAGGAACACTCCCTGCCCTCAGGGAGCTCACATTCTAGTAGGGGAAGCAATGTGTACACATGGGACTCTAGGCAGAACAAAGAAAGGTTCATTTCAGGGGGAGGCCCTAGCGCCTGGGCTGAGCAGTCCTAGACACTTGTAGGAGGTAGACCTTGAGCTAAGCTTCCCTGATGACAACTCCTCTCTTTCCTTCCATCAGGTTCTAGCAATGCCTGCGAAAAAACTTCCTTCACCTTCCTGAGGCAGGAGCTGCCTGTGCGGCTGGCCAACATAATGAAGGAGATCAATTTGCTTCCAGACCGGGTACTAGGAACTCCATCCGTACAGCTGGTGCAGAGTTGGTAAGACGCACTCTCTCTCCTGGTCCTCCTCTGAGCTCCCCAGAAAAACACACACACACACACACACAGAGACAGAGAGACAAAGAGGGAGAAAGAAACAGAGAGGGAGAAACACAGAGACAGAGAGAAGGAAGGAGGGAGAGAGAGAAAGAGAGAGAGAGGGAGGGAGAGAGAGAGGAGACAGAGAGAGAGAGAGAGAGAGAGATTGAAAGCAAGCACCTTCGTTGTCCACAGTGATGGGATCCAAGTTCTTCCAGCTGTTCTGGGAGGAATGGGGATAAATGGCACTCTGAGAGGATAGGGTACCTATCCATAGGTCATGCAGTGCATCTCATCCCGTGGAGCAAACAAGGCCATCCTAGAAATAGAAATAACACAATGTAGAAAACCCTCTTTGATTCGAGAACCCAGACTTCAAATGGGAAATCATTTATTTCACAACCAACCCCCCTAGCCAGGCTAGTGTCAGTATGAACTGACTAACCTTAGGGAATTAGAGTACTTGGGCTGATTTGATGAAAAACAAACAAGGTTAACTTATTCACTAGAACTATCCTGATCTAAACTCTAGTAATTTAAACTGGAAGTTGAGAGACGTGGCATCTAGTTCTGCTTCTGTAAGAATAGATAGAATTAGTTAATATTCTATTAATATATCTAATATATTCTATTAATAAATAGACTCTCATAGAAAGAGCTCAGAATTTGAAGTCAGTGGGTCTGGCCTCAGTTTCCTCATCTGTAAAATGAATGGGTTAGACTAAGGGCCCTTTAAGCTCTAGAGCTGAATTTGTCTCACTAACTCAGCTGTGCAGCCTTGGACAAGTTGATTCCACCCTCTGGGCCAGGATTTTGTTATCTTGAGATGAGGTGTTAGTCTGAATTGGCTCTTTTAAAAAAAATTTTTTTATGGCAATTGGGTTAAGTGACTTGCCCAGGGTCACACAGCTAGCAAGTGCCAAATGTTTGGTCTGAGGCTGGATTTGAAGTCAGGTCCTCCTGACTTCAGGGCCAGTGCTCTATCTTCTTCGCCACCTAGCTGCCCCCTGAATTGGCTCTTGAGGCTCTCTCCTGGTTCTGAGATTCTGCTTGCTATTTTTGTTTATGCTAGCAAAGTAATGATAATGATGCCGATTTTCTGTTTGTTCTTCCATTCAGTTTGTTATTTTTGTCAAGGTGAGTTAACTATCATTTTCAGTACAAAGGTTTCCTTTTGACTGAATTCTATTCCTGGGGAGGAGCCCCCTCAACTAACCCTTCTATTTACTGACATGCTAATCAGGGCATAAGGCAAATGAATATAGTGGAGAGAACCCTGGATTTGGGAACCCAAGTACCAGATTCAAACCTAGGCCCTGCTTCCTGAGTAGCTTTGATCAAATCTTTCCCTTTCTGGAACTTCCAAATGAAGTCTATAAACCTTTATTAAGCTTGTGGCTTAAGTGTGCCAGGCACCATGCTAAACAGATATTATCCTGTTTTGTCATCACAGCAACCCTGGGTACTATTATGATCTTTATTTTACAGATGGGCAAACTGAGGCAGGCCAGAGGTGAAGTGACTTTTCCAAGACCACACAACTAGTGTGTGTCTGAGGGCAGATTTGAGCTTAAAGTCTTCCTGACTCCAGGCCTCTATCCAGCACTCTATCCATTGCACCACCTACTGGCTTCCAACTTCTATATCTGGCTCCTGTGATCCATCATGACCTAAAATTATTTGACCAAGCAACACTTTTGCCCTAGAAATACATTAATGGAATACATGAATGCTTGTCCCTAAGGCCTAGTACTAGGGAATACTTCCTAGGATAGGGGAGGGAAGGAGATTTTAGAGCAAAATAAAAGGGATTAAAAACCCATCTTTAGCTTTAAAGTAAGTTTTATCAGTGCCTTTTGATTTTACATCACAGTCACTTTCAGATATTCTATTTCCTCATCTTCTTCCCCTATCCCCACTACCTCTACCTCATAAGCCTTCCTTTGAGTAAAGCAGACTGAGCTCAGGTCATACCCCACACTCATCTGTCAGCTGCCATCTCTCCACCAAAAGAAGAGGCACCCTTTCTCAGCTCCTCTCGGGGGCCAAGGTTGGATGTTACTGTTACTCTAATGTTCATGAGTCCATGTTCACAACCAGTTGACCCATATAAAAAGTCATTTTGTATATACATAATTTCATATTTAGTTATTTTTTTGAACTGTAGCTGTGGTGGTTCCGATCTGTTCAGTGGTTCCCTGTTGGGATGGAGAACTTCAGGTGTGGAAATGCTCTTCACCATTCTGTCACTTATAGTCTTAAAGAGTTGCCTTAACAAGACTTATGATGGAAAATGCTATCCACATCCAGAGAAAGAACTACGCATTTTGAATGCAGATTGAAGCATACTGTTTTCTATCTCTTTTTTATTTGTTTCTTCTTTCTCCTGGTTTTTCCTTTTGGTTCTAATTCTTCTTTACAACATGGCATGTGGAAATATGTTAAATATGATTGTACATGTATAGCATATATCAGATTGCATGCCATCTTGAGGAGGGGGAGTGGAGGGAGGGGGAGAAAATTTAGAACTCAAAATCTTATAGAAAAGAATGTTGAAAACTAAAAACAAAGTTAAAAAAAACAGAATAACTTTTAAAAAGAGTTGCATTAAGCACTAAGAGCTTCTCATAGCCAGGATGTGTCAAAGGCAGAAGTTGAACCCAGATCATTCAAGACTGACCCTCCATCCACTCTACCATATTGCCTCTCATTTAATATTATATAGGGAAAAATAGTGGTGATTGTGGACATTTTCTCCCAGAACCTGTACCCAACATGGAGTAGGACATGGACTTGGGAAAAACTGACTTCAACTATTAAAGAAAAACTGGCCAATAGAAATGCATATTGTTAACTGGGATCTACACATATAGGATGTTAGACATGCCAGACGTTCTCTTCAGGAAAGACAGGGGGCTTGACCAGGATGAATGGGCAGTGAAGGAATGAGGAGGGTGAGGTGTTGGGAGGCTGAACAGGATGAGTAGGCAGTGAAGGGGTGAGGTGCTCTGGAACTGTTGGGCAGAGAGCAGAGGATTCAGAAAGGAGCCAGAACTGCCATCTGCCAGATTTAGGGCATGCCCCAGGAAGGATTTTCTGAGTGTTAGGAATACATGGCTGGGGAATTGTCTTTTTAGGGACCTTTGAGAACTAAAGGCCTGGGATCACAGAGGCAGGGGCATGATGGACTGACCTGTAGAGAAGGACCTTATCTTTTACCTTAGTGGAGATGGAGAGCTTGGTCACCCAAATATCCCCTTTGCCTGTACTTCCCACCTCACCCTTCTAGAGAAAAGGAAAACCTTCCCTCTGGTTGGTAGGATGTCAGAACTTGATAATAATTCAATTGGATTAACCCTGACTCCAAAGCTCTCTTCCTAGATCTCAAAGCCCAGTATTTGTTATGTTTTGCCTCCACAAGAAACGTGTAGGGAATGAATACTCTGGAGGGTTGGTGAGGGTTAGAAAGGAGGCAGGAGATGATGCCATCTGTTCCTCCCCATCCTCCTCCTCCTCCTTCTGTCCAGCTGACTGATCATGCTTTATCTCCTGCTGGCTTGTTGGCTGCTTTGATTGACCTCCCCACCCCCCAACCTCCTCCCTGGACACCATGTTCTTGAGAGAGTGAAAAAGAGCTGAACTGAATGTAATTCCTCCCTACCCTTGAGCTATGTGTAGATTCCTAAAATGTCCCAAAAAATGTCATGTGCTTGTTATTGGTGGCCGGGAAATTTGATTTGGCCCAGGTTACCAGCATATCAATGTGATGTAGCCCTAGATTTGTCGTGAGATTAGATTTATGTCCTGGCTCAGGTACTCACTAGCTCTGTTACCTTGGACAAGTCACTTTATCTTTTACTCCTCCTTCTTTCCTTCCTGGGGTATAAAATAGGGATAGTAATGCATTCATCTGTTGCCTCCTTCTCTCAGGGATATTGTGCAGAAAGCACCAGGTAACCTTTAGTGTGCTGAAGAAACATGAGCTAGTGTTATTCTCTTGCTCATTTCACTCCCCAAACTTTCTTGTCATGGTGTAGTGAGAAGGCAGCAATGGCTTCTAAAAGGTGTACGAGTGAGAACAAGATTTACTAAACTGGAGAGGTTCCACGTGTGGGCTTTTCTACAGACTCTGTCAGTCTTCCAAAGATCAACCCGGTTAAGTGTGGGAAGCCCATCTTTGGAGGGTTGCTAAGTTAGTTCCTTAAATCTTCTCCTTCAAATGATCTGTTCAGTGGAAAGAATACCCATAGCAGTAAATCTGGGCCCTTGAAGTATTAATGTTTAATCCTCTAAAGCATACCTTGTGGGTGTAAGCCTTGTTGGAGGGAGTGAAGTTAATCTAGAGAAAGCATTTCATTAACAAGGCAGATTTAGCTTGGTTGTGGTTCAGTGGTAATAACAGTCTCACATTTATATAAAACTTTAGGGTTTGCAAAACCCCTTTTTCCCTACCCTGTGAGGGGTGACAGATAAGAACCTTGGAGGAGGGTCTATAGAAGAAGAGACCTACTTCACAGGAGGGAAAGAATGAAAGCTGCAACAGGAAGGATTAAGGTTAGAAAGGAAGAAGGTTAAAAGGACTTTGTGACAGGAAGGGCTGACTGAGAGATTGGGGCATCTCCTTTCTGAAGCCTCTTTGATGAAAAATTTGAGCTTCTCCTCTGGCTGACATGACTTGGTTGGGGGTGGAGGTGGATAAGGCAGCCTTGGAAAGTGCCTCTCAGCCTATGAATCTGACAAATCAGGTGTTAAAACTGAGTAAAAAGTCTGGAAACCATGAAGTGCTGAAGAAATGTAAGGTCACATTTATAGCATTGGTGGCCAATTCTCGGGGCCATTCTCAGCCAGAGTTAATAATTATAGCTGCTAACAGGGAAAGATGGGAAGGGGCAGGGTGTGTGTGTGGGAGAGAAAGAGAGAGAGAGAGAGAAGGAGAAGAAGAAGAAGAGGAGGAGGAGGAG